TTCACACACACACACACACAAACACACATACACACACACACACACACACACACACACACATACACACATTCACACACACACACATACACACATACGCATCCCCCCACGTACGCACACGCACACGCATTAGCACACACAAACACTCTTTCACTTTCATGTAAGCCTCTGTGAGCGCGTGTTTGTACAATGATTAATTTGTATGTGCATCACTCTCTGTCTGTCTGTCTGTCTGTCTGTCTGTCTGTCTGTCTGTCTGTCTGTCTCTGTCTCTCTGTCGCTCTCTGTCTCTCTGTCTCTCTGTCTCTCTGTCTCTGTCTCTGTCTGTCTCTCTGTCTCTCTCTCTCTCTCTCTCTCTCTCTCTCTCTCTCTCTCTCCATTTTTGAGTTATGTGTTTGTGTATTTCACCTGGGGTCAATTTTTGTTACGTCGAAGTCCTCTTCTTGAGGTCCGACAAGCCTATCATAAGAGGGCTATTCTGCCATCACCCTCAAGCGTTGCTTGCGTAATATGTCAATACGTCATTAAAAAAAAACTATTATGTTAGGAAACCTGAACAATGCTTGCTAGAATAACTACAGGACTACCGTGCGGTTGTTGAGCAGATCGTTCGTTCAGTTGTGAACGTACCGGCTCTATTCTCGTTTTAGCATCAACGATTGTTGGAGGACCAGCAATAGAACAGCCTGTCACGATTTGGGGAAAATTGTGATTGATTTCGTAGATGTTGACGTAAAGGTATAAATAGTGAAACACTGTCTATTGAAACGAAAGTGTGACTCTTGTTTTATAGTGAAGAGGCAATTTTTGAACCCGATTTAAACCTGAAACAGTCTGTATTTTGGGCAATAGTTATGCACTCACTGTCTCCAGGGTCTGCTCGACTTTGTATTTTAAATTTTATTTTACTGTGCTTTAGTTTCAGCGAACTGACAAAAACTAAGTAGTATTTATGTTTGAAAACAATCTTTAAAAACTATTGAAGATAAAATATTTCACTTTATCGACCCCGGTTGGGAACCTAGGGATGTACTGGCAAAGACACACACATATATAAAACATTATTTTTAAGCATACCAGATACATACAAGGAAAACCAAATATACACCAATACATCAATGTATACAATTTTACAAGCATGCCATTGCTGTTCGCCATTGAGCAGCGCCCTGCTTTTTGAGCTAGGTTATCGTTTCTTCCTCAAAGACACACACACACACACACACACACACACACACACACACACACACACACACACACTCACACACAAGTGACCACCCATCTAAACCTCGTGTCACCGACACATCGCTACCGAAGAATTACAAAGTTCTTTTTGCTTAGTACCTAGTTTTGAGAAATTAAACTTTAAAAAATTGACTTTCGCAACATATCAAGCTTTTTCGAATGCAGTTCTTTGAATATCTAGATAACGACTCCGAATAATCTTACCATTTTGATAGAGCAGATAGAACATACTCCCTATAGATCTAGTCTTAGTAACTCAAAACGGCCAAAACTGTAAAATGGAACTTTGTGTAATTCTTAGGTGCTTGACATTATCTTTGAGTCTGAACTCATTAAACATTCGGAAACGGGAGCGTGTTAGGTCCAGCAGCCCTTACAAATGAAGAGGTTCTGACGACATAATCAGAAGTTGATTATGTCCCTTTGTCTCTCATGCTTGTTCTATAACTCACTTTTTCGCAATTTTGAAGAGCATGTTTTCAGGCTGTCCAACAGAATATATGATTGATTTTAATGAAAAACGTTTTATTGACTCCTACCTATTTATTGCTGGACTGAGGAAAGTGCACGGGAAGCCAATACGAATCTCTAACAACGGTTATTCAACAATCCTGGATTGCAGATTTCTTTGACATTATCTCATCCACTTTTCAGCTCAATACATACTGGGCTAAATTGAAAAAAAAAGAAAACAAATCATAACTTTTTCGAATCGTTCCTTAATTTTTTTCCTTTTCTTATCTTTTTTTTATATCTCGTTTAAATCAATATTGACGTATAATATCTTTAACTTTTCTATCTTATCTTTATTTTGCCTTCTCTCAACTTTGCTAGTCTTTCTATCTTATTTATTGTTTTGATTTTAAGATAATATGATTTCTATTATTTCTATCTTACCTTTTCAATATTTTTTCTCTCCCTGTGTATATAGGTCCCATGTGTGCCCAGCGCATGGATGATAGTGAGCTAGCAATCACACTGGGAGAGAGGCTGCTGAAGGAGCCCATCTGGATCGGCCTCATCGTAATCCTCTCCGTGCTGCTGCTGTTCGGGATCCTCTACGTCATACGCAGGAAATGCGGCAAGCACTTCACTTGTTGCCAGATCGCCAAGCCTAAAGGTGTGGTTTTGTTCAACGTCGTTTGGTGTGAGAATGCGACGGGTTGAAATACTGGTTGAGAGTATGGGGTTGGGGGGTTGTTCTTTAGTATGTTTGTTTGTTTGTATGTTTGTTTTGTTTGCTTGTTTGTTTGTTTTTGTGTTTGGCTCCGTAAAGTATTAACTCGAAATACAACAGAGTAAAAAATAATTGCAAGCACTTTTGTGCATGTTCTTTCGTGTGTTAGTATGCATGGGTTTGTATGTATGCAAGTGTGAGCATAAGTAGATCTATGCCTGGGTGTGTGTGTGTGTGTGTGTGTGTGTGTGTGTGTGTTTGTATGTTCGTGTGTGTGTGTTTGTACGTGCGTGTGTGCTTTCATGTGTGTATGTGTGCCTATGTGTGTATGTGTGTGTGTGTGTGTGTGTGTGTGTGTGT